CCCCAAAACCCCAAAACCCCAAAACCCCAAAACCCCGGGGGTGTTGGTAGAAGTTGAAATTTTTGGTACTAATGGTGAAGATTGTTCATAAAGTGTTTGTCTAGATGGGGGAAGAGGTGGCACTAGGGAGTTAGAGGGGCAGGTTTGATGGAGATTATGTAGATTAGTGTGAAAGAAATATTGGGAGATGCTAAGGAGTATGATACTCAAATTAGAGAACACTTTAGGTAATATCCTTATTATCCTCTTAATCTGATCCTTCATTGCTGTTTGATATTTAACTTAAGACGAATTTTTTTGTGCTCTATTAGCTATTTTAAATTCTAAGATGATTTCTTGAGCCAGAGCACAAACATACTATTTCAAAAGTTTAAATTGTTATTTTTATTAGAAAGACAACAAGGGAGTCAGGTTTGCTAAAATGGTAACAAGACAGTAATTTTATTACAATCTCTATAAAAAAAATTGTTGAATCTAATCTACAAACACATTATACCATCCTATGTATCAACATTTCTCAAGATCTTTTCGAAGAAACAGACCACCAATGACTTAAATCCAGTGCCAAAAATCTCTTCTAAACCCCTTATATATCCTCTCTACCCAATCTCCCACCTTTCTATCCCCCTAAACCCCTCTATCAGACCTCTCACCAGCCAAATCCACCTTTTCTCCCCAAAATCCCCTGCACAGCCCATTTGCCACTTTTTCACTAAAATTTCCAGATTTCCAAATTTCCCACTGAAACTCTAAAATTTATGGAATTCATTCTTAAACTAAAGTTGACTGGGAGGATTACTCGCTTGCTTCGATGACGCATTCTATTAAAGACTGGATTCAGTCAGGACTGGTGCTGAAGAAGGCCCTGGTGATCCGGTTTAGGCACAGCCAGGTTGTTGGAGTGGGGGTTTCGTAGGTCTGGAGGTAGAGAAGTCTATCCTGGATCAACCCAAGCCAATTACTGGCGGTGTTAACCTAGAAGATTGGTGAGAGGTGAAATATTTGGGAGAGATATAGGACTTACGTGGACGAGCAAGTGAGGGTCTGAGAGGATGTTGCCGCCGAGTTCTTTTCTTTGGACTCGAGTGTTGCCTCCTTCACCAGCACAGTCGACGAACTTATCGAGATTGAATAGGACATCGCTTAGGTAAACATTGTGGGTAGGAAAAGCTAGGTTTCCTATAATATTGCCAGTTTCTGAATCATAATGTGTATAAAATCCTTGCTGAGAGATATCAGTTGTCTGAATAGCCTCGATAGATTCCTCTAAGCTGGGTGGCCTAACTAGTTTTAATCTCGGACTTCTAATGAAATTAAGAAGTCTGATGCTAAACACAACTAGTACCCAGAGGAAAAAGAGCCCTAAAATAGCAGTTAGAGCTATAAAAATGTGCTTTCTACTACGAATCTTGCCCGACTTCGAATTTATCTTGATTCAAATCAACAAAAGGCCACTCAGAATGGTTAAAATCACGCCGTAGATGAACCCCATGAGGTGAGTTGACTGGACAAATGTAAGAGAAATCATCAAAACTCCAATAACGAAGTACACTAGGTGAATTATATACAAAATCTTTGAGAGCTTTCCCTTGGGCGTATAGATAAATTCCTCGTCATTTTCATCATTGATCATAATTATTTCAATTCAGAGCCTAAAAATCGGGGTTTTGGGGTTTTGGGGTTTTGGGGG